GGGTGCAAATGAGAGGGCTTATTCCCTTGATATCCGTAATGGTCCACCCAATTGCTCCTTTATGATTTCTCAATACCTCAAAGAGTTCTTTTTCTTGTTCCATGTTCAATGTAGAGCTAATGACCACAAAAAATGTTTCATCTTCCCCAAGATAGGCGTACTTCAAATGGGAGGGCAAGGGCTTCAACTCCAAGTTGGGCTTTTGTTCATCCGATGGAAAAATTTTCTTTTTTCAATGGGGTGACTCTTCGAATGTAGGGATCCACCTTTCCATCCCTTTCAAATCTTCTACCTACTCTTGCTCATCATAATTCTCAAGATCCATAATTCCTTCTTCCTTGAATTTCAATATCCCCTCCAGCTCGAAGTGCTCCTAAACTAAAGTGTCGATTCTATTGACCTCACTTACTTTCTCATCATCACCTGGTTGTTTTGCCAAGTTGAATACATTGTGCTCCATTGTCATATTCCCAAATGCCAACTTCATTAGACCATTCCTGCAATTTATCACGGCATTAGATGTAGCAAGGAAGGGTCTTCCAAGTATTACGAATATTTGGGAGCTAAGGTTTGCAGCAGGGTGTGTATTAAGCACAATGAAATCGACAGGGAAGTAAAATTTATCAATTTGAACTAAGACATCCTCAACTACTCCCCTTGGTGTATGGATACTACGATCTTCCAATTGAAGCGTGATTGAGGTGGGCTTCAACTCCTCAAGCTGCAACTGTTGGTACGCCGAGTAGGGGAGAAGATTCACACTTGCCCCCAAATCGAGGAGTGCTTGCTCCACTCGACAATTTCCAATGGTGATGGCTATGGTTGGACAACCTGAGTCTTTGAATTTGGGAGGAGTGTTGGTCCTCAATGTTGAACTCACTTGCTCGGTGAGGAATGTTTTCTTGTGGACATTCAATTTTCTCTTCACCGTGCATAAGTCCTTTAAAATATTAGCACATGATGGAATTTTCTTGATGGCGTCAAGGAGTGGAATGTTAATCTTCACCTGCTTAAATATTTTCAAAATATCAGTATAATTAGCCACCTTGACAAGTGGCTTCAAATGACTTGGGAAAAGGGCAGGCATGGGAGGAATAAACACACAATCATCAATTAATTTTTCTTTCTCAACAACCTCTCTTTCTTTCTCTTCACTCACCTCATTCTTGTCGGCATTACCCAAGATATCTTTTTCTTTTGGCAATGTGGTTTTGGGTGTGACCGTTGGCAAAATGATTTTGTCAATTTTTTTGCCACTGCGGAGGGTGGTGACAACTTTGAGTTGCTCGTAACTCTCTCTCGAAGGTTTCGATGATTCAACAAGGTGTTGACCCCTAGGGTTCTCTTATGGTTGAGCGGGGAACTTCCCCTTTTCTTGTTGAGATGCCCTTATGGAGTTTGTCAACTTTGTGAGTTGGCTCTTACATCATTGATGGTTGTGCCATATTGGTTATTGATGGCGATTTGGCTTTGAATGAAGGAATGAACCATATCCTCCAAATTCCTTTTGTGAGGAGGTTGGTATGTGGATAGATTGGACGGTTCTTGAGAAAAACTTTGTGGAGGTAGATTTGGTGAAAAATTCTGTGGTGGTGGGTTTGATGAATACCCTTGTGGAGGGGTCCGGGGGTATTGAGAGCTAGATGCTTGCCCTTGGCCATGGTATTGGTTTTGCTTGGGAGGCATGGGAGATGCATATGCACTTGAACCATGAGGAATGAAGTTTTCATTTCTCCAACTAAAATTTGGGTGATTACTCCAACCCGGATTGTAAGTATTCGAATTGGGAGAAAATGATTGCCTCATTTGGTTAAAGGCATGGACTTGTTCATGGTGCGCTTCTTTAAGGGTCAGAATGTTTGGGCAATCCGACAGGGAATGCTCCATACATTTACAAATTGAACAACCCTCCTCGGTTCGTGACACATTAGACACCTCGTGTCTCTTATTGACTTCAAGACTCTTAACTTTCCTTGATAATTTAGCAATTTTTGAAAACAAGTCTTCCCGGTCTCTTAAATCATAAATCCCTTCCCCTTGAGTTTGACCACTCTTTTGAGGAGAAGACCTTGGTACATCAGTGGGATCTGTAATGTCCCATGATTGTGTATTTTGTGTCAATGTATCAAAGTAATCTAAGACCTCATCAGGGTCTTTGTTCAAAAACTCTCCATTACACATCATGTCAATGAACTGTCGATGGCCCGGTGTGATTCCTTCATAAAAGAAACTCACCAATTGCCATGGTTCAAAGCCATGATATGGAAGGGATTGTAGCAATTTCTTGTACCTCTCCCAACATTGATAGAATTGCTCATTGGGCTTTTCTAAAAAGTTTTGAATTTACTTTTTTAGGGTGGTGGTTTTATGCACTAGAAAGAATTTGTTCAAAAACTCAAAAATCATTTGGCTCCACGATGTGATGGTTCAAGGCCTTAAGGAAATAAGCCACATTTTTGCCTTGTCTTTTAGGGAAAAGGGAAACAATTTTATTCTAGCTATCTCTTCCATCCCATGATTGAGGAGGATGGTTGCAACTATTTCCTCAAAATCCCTTATGTGTGAATAGGGGCTTTGAGTTTCAAGTTCGTTGAACATGAGAATTAGTTACAACATCCCTGGCGTAACTATAAAAAGATGAACTTGGACCGAAAAGAGGATGCATGATGGTGTGGTACTTCGTGTTGGTTGTAGGAAATCCCTCATTGACCTCAACGGGGGATCCATTTGAAAATTATTCCCCTCATTTACGAGAGGGGAAAAATTCATTCTTGGATTGGGTATTTGGGGTTCTTGTGGTCCTACACCCCTTTGGACATTTGGATTTGCACCCCTTTGGACATTTGATTTGTACCTATATTGTCAAATTGTCACCTGCATCCTCGGATTGTTCTTGGTTAATATTCATAGTAGGGGCCAAGTTTTGTCTAACAAATCAATTTCGGTCATTCCGCCTCCACATAAAATAAAATATATACAAACAAAATTATACATAAACAAGATTATGTGCACGGAACAACGTACCTCCACCCATGATGAAGGTCATGGGACTTACCTCCGTCGTCCAGAAATTACCTTATTGGTTTGACACTTGCCTTCCCCGGCAATGGCGCCAAAAATGCTTGACAAAATTTCTTGTTGTTTTCTAAGTTCTAAACATCACCTTTTAGCATGTATATTATATGAATGAAGGGGAGTGTCACTATCCTAGGGATGATGTCAAAAGAAAGGGCAATAGAATGGTGGATGAATGAGATGTCAAATGTGAGTATGTGTAAACAAAAGTGCTCCCCAAGCGCAAGGAGACTTTCGCGGATCGTGTTTTACTTGGTAGTATTCCAAGGTTGTTTCCACGGGGAAGGAATTAAACCGAGGGGAAGGTTATTTTGGGAGAAAGAAAGTGTAAAATCTTTGATTATTGGAAGTTGTTTGGTGAAGTTGTTTTGATGCTAGTAAAATGAGAAACAAATGTTGGCAAATCCAAGAGGTCACTCCAATAAGAATACCGTCTCAACTCGAAACCTTCCTCCAATAGAGCATGAATGAACGATTAATTTGTGGGAAGCTAGGGATAAGATTGGTGAGTATCTAAGCATAAACCGTGACTAGACCTACGGAATATCAAAGACTCACCAAGTTATCCACCCTCAACCCAGTCAAACCGAACCATTGAACTCTGAAAGAGGGGAGGAGAATGAGTTGAAATGGTATACCCAAGTGGAGGTTCCTCTTGGTTTTGCCAACTAAGAGATTTAGTTATTCATGCTTAAAATAAAGACAACAATATGATGAGAAGACATTATGAAGAAATAAAGACTAGAGCTAAGCATAAATAAAATGTATAAATATAATTTTCGGATAATCACCTCTTACTAAAGATTGGATGAGAAACTACTCACTCTTCATGGCTTTGTTAAAGCTAGAAAAGTGAGTGATGCTCATCCCTCCAAGTAGAGGAGTTACAAGGTAAAACACTTTACACAAGGAGCCGATCTTCAACAAAGAATGAGTGAATCACGTTCCACCCTTCACGGCTTTGGTAAAGCTCTAGAAAAGTGGAAGAGTTTCACTCTTCTAAGGGAAGAAGGAAGCTCAAGTAATGAAAATAAAAAAAAAAATAATAACACAATAAAAGAAAGCAATACTTAAAGTAAAAGAAAGCAATAAATTAAAAGAAAGCAATAATACAATAAAAGAAAGCAATAAGCAATAAGGAAAGCAATAATACTTTTGAAGGATTTTTCACTACCAAAAGATGAATACTTTACAAGTCCTAAGGGGTGGTATTTATAGACAACAAGGGAGGGTGAAAATCTTGTTAGGTGGATTTGAATTACATGAAAGTCTTGTTAGGTGGCCTTGAAAAGTCTTGTTTGGTGGCCTTGAAAAGTCTTGTTTGGTGGCCTTGAAAAGTCTTGTTAGGTGGCCTTGAAAAGTCTTGTTAGGTGGCCTTAAATTCTTTGATCCCCCTTTGTTTTGAGCTTTGATAATTGGCACCCCAGTATTTTGTAGCTTTAATGCAATTAGCTCCCCAGTAGTTTATAGTTTTGACGTACAAAACACTAAAAAGAACAACAATTAATGCATTATCCTTTATTCACACATTAACCCTAATTTGATTTATTTTGACTAGTTTAACTTTATTCAACTAACACAATTTACCTATTAAATTATGCCTTAATTAGGGTTAATCAGTGAGGCAGATCACTGGTGGAATATGATTAAGGAAACCAAGGATGTTAAGAAGATGGCGTGGAAAGAGTTTTATGACTTATTTATGGATAATTATTTTCCCAAAGTGATTAAGGGAGTGAAGGTGCAGGAATTCTTAAGATTACGTTGGAGAGATCTCACTGTAATACAATATGGGGCTCAATTTGTTGAACTAGCCAGACATGCTAGCACAATAGTGTTAGATGAGGATAGTAGAGCTAGGAGGTTTGAATGGGGGGGCTCAGGTCTGCCATTAGAGGTCACGTAATGGTCTTATGCCCCCCAACCTATGCCAAAGTGGTTGAGGCTGCACTAGTTGCCGAAAGGGAGTTGGACGACACCAGGAGAATTAGAGAGTCTAGTTCACGATCTTGATTCACATTCCTGAGGTGGCTTTGGTAAGAGACAAAGAACTTCATCATCATGATCTCAAGGTGGTCAGGCGCAGAGTCATCAATCATTTCAACAGAAACACCAAAAGAAGGGGAAGTTTGTTCAAGGGCAAGGAGTATGTTATAAGTGCGGACAGGTGGGACATTACAGGTGAGACTATCCACAACAAGGACCCTCTCAGAATATTGCTAGACCATAACAAAATATGCAACCATCTTATCCATAACAGGCTCAACCCCAGAAGCAGGAACAAATTGGCTCGATGATGGGATATACATCATATGCCTCTACGGCCCATTTGGATCCCAACAACTTATGAGGCAAAATCATAGCAAGGGACGCGGTGGACATAGCCAACATATACAGGGTAGGGTCTTTGCATTGACTCAACAAGAGGAGTTCGTTGATCATTCAATAATCCAAGGTAATGTTATGTTATATAGTTCTTGGGTTAGTGTGTTGTTTGATTCAGGCGCATCTCACTCATTTATATCGACGACATGTGCATCTGCATTGGGCTTGGAGTCGGAGCCCTTAGAGACATCAGTATGCATTGACTCGCCCTTGGGTGGTAGAAGTCAGGTAGATCATTTTTGCCAATCTTATGAGTTGGAGATCTAGGGTCTTCGACTAACAGTGGACCTAAGGGTCATGAAAATGGTGGAGTTTGATATTATTCTAGGAATGGATTGGTTATCGACTCATCATGTCACTATTGATTATCATCAAAAAAAAGTGACAGCTTATACCACAGAAGGTGTTTGTTTCCAATTTCATGGGGATAGACATGCAAAATTGCCTCTACCTCTGTGAAATCGCACTGGCGTAACCAATTGATGGGCTGGTTAGCTAGTTTGGTAATCAGTGATGATGATAGCAAGGAGTTAGGTCTTCTTTAAGTTGTGTGCGAATAATCCAATGTTTTCTGGAGGAACTACCTGGACTACCTCCTCGAAGGGATGTTGATTTTTCAATTGAATTGCAACCAGGCACTGCACCAATTACTATGACACCTTATAGGATGACACTTGCTGAACTTCATGAATTGAAGTTACAACTCCAGGATCTATTAGATAAAGGATTTATACGGCCAAGTACCTCCCCGTGGGAAGCGCCAACACTATTTGCCAAGAAAAAGGATGGAAGCTTAAGATTGTGTATTGGCTACAGACAGTTGAATCGAGTGACTATCAAGAACAAGTACCATTTGCCCAGGATAGATGACTTATTCGACCAGTTGAGAGGATCTTGTTATTTTTTTAAGATTGATCTTCGGATCGGGTATCACCAATAGAGGATATAAGATGAAGACATACCCAAGACTGCCTTCAGAACCCGATATGGGCATTATGAGTTTGTAGTGATGCCATTTGGGTTAACGAATGCTCCAACAGAATTCATGGACATGATGCATAGGATTTTCAGTCCATACTTGAATTAGTTTGTTGTGGTATTTGTGGATGATATTCTCGTGTACTCACGAACCAAATCGGACCATGAGCGACACTTGAGGATTGTACTCCAGACACTGAGAGAACACCAGTTATATGCCAAAGCAAGCAGGTGTGAGTTTTGGTTATCTGAAGTGAAATTCTTAGGACACGTGGTATCAGAATTTGGAGTATCAGTGGACTCATCAAAAGTTAGGGCAATGATAAAGTGGGAGCAACTGAAGTCTGTTTATGAGATCCAGAGTTTCTTAGGATTGACTGGATATTATCAGTGATTTATTGAGGATTTCTCATGACTAGCAGCCCCGATGACTAGATTGACTAGGAAAGGAGTGAAGTTTCAGTGGGATGACACTTGTGAGCAGGCTTTTTGTAAATTAAAGGAAAGGTTGACTAGTGCACCTATCTTGGGGATACCAAAATGAGGACTAAGTTATGTTGTGTATTGTGATGCCTCGAAAGAGGGTCTAGGATGTGTATTGATGCAGGCTGACAGGGTAGTTGCATATGGTTCTCGTCAGTTGAAAACGCATGAACAAAATTATCCCACCCATGACTTAGAGTTTGCAGCAGTTGTCTTTGCTCTAAAGACATGACGACATTATCTATATGGTGAGAAGTTCGAGGTGTATTCAGATTATAAGAGTTTGAAGTATATCTTTACTCAGAGAGACATCAACATGAGACAGAGGCGTTGGATGGAATATATTAAGGATTATGATTTCACTTTTCTTTATCACCCTGGTAAGGTAAATGTGGTAGCTGATGCTTTAAGTAGGAATTCACGGGGGATAGTTGCTCGCATAACATCAAAAGAATGGCAAATGGTGGAGATTATTAGTTAATTTGGGTTACAGTTGGATGAGCAGAGTGACCTTGCTTGTCTCTATAATTTGGTGGCCACACCAACACTCCTTAGTCGGGTGACAGAGGCAGAAGGTCAGGATTTAGAGATAGACTCTATCTATTCTCGAGTCCACAATGGAGCAGGAATGGACAGTTGGTCCATACACTAAGATGGGAGGTTGAGATTTCGAGATAGGGTTTTTGTATCCAATAATGAGTCATTGAAAGATGAGGGGCTTAGGGGGTTTCATCATTCTAGATTAGCAATACATCCAGGAGGTACAAAGATGTATCGAGATCTTTGTCGCCAGTATTGGTGGAGTGGGATAAAGAGGGATGTGGCACGCTATGTGGCCAGATACCTTATCTGCTAACAAGTAAAAGCTAAGCATCAAAGACTAGTAGGGCTACTTTAGCCCCTACCTGTTTTCGAGTGGAAATGGGAACATGTGACTATGGACTTTGCGATTGGTTTACCAAAATCTACTAGAGGACACGATTCAGTGTGGGTGGTGGTGGACCAACTGATCAAGTCAGCATATTTTTTGCCAGTTCGAATGACAAACACCTTGGACGCATTCAGTCGATTACACATCAGAGAGATAGTTAGGCTTCGTGGAGTACCGGTGTCGATAGTGTCCGACAGAGATCCAAGGTTTACAACACAGTTTTGATAGAGTTTCCAGGATGCTTTGGGTACTCGATTAATGTTCAGTACAAAATTTCACATGCAGACAGATGGTCAATCTGAAAGAGTAATCCAGATACTTGAACGCATGTTGAGGGCAAGTGTACTAGATTTCGGTGGTAGTTGAGAAGATCATATCCCTTTGATTGAGTTCGCTTACAACAACAGTTATCAGTCGAGCATAGAGATAACACCTTATAAGCCACTATATAGTAGGCCATGTCGATCACCTTTATGTTGCGTCGAAGTTGTGGAGGCTTCATTATTGGGTCCAGAGTTAGTTAAGGAGACCACCGAGAAAGTGGGTCTAATTAGACAGAGACTTTTGGCAGCACAAAGTCACCAAAAGAGTTATGCAAATCAACGGAGGAGACCCTTTGCGTTTCAGGTCAGGGATCACGTGTTTCTGAAAGTGATGCCTCGTAGAGGTCTTATGAGGTTTGGGAAGAATGGAAAGTTATCCCCTCGATTTATCAGACCATTTGAGATTCTTGAAAAGGTTGGTGCAGTTGCACACTGATTGGCTTTGCCCCCACAGTTGGATAGGGTGCACAATGTATTTCACATTTCTATGTTGAGAAAATATGAGCTAGATCCTTCACATGTGGTTAATTGGGGCGAGATGGGCATTGATGTGGATGCCATCTATGAGGAGAAGCCAATACAGATCTTAGATAGAAGAGAACAAGTCCTACGAAACAAGACCATACCCCTAGTCAAAGTCTTGTGGAGACACCGAGGAATCGAAGAAGCAACCTGGGAGCGTGAAGCAACAATGCGGGTCAATTACCCACACTTATTTGAGGATGAAGGTACATTTTTTTAATTAGTTATGTTAGAATTTAATTTCCAAGATGAAATTATTTTAAGGGGGGTAGAATGTGAAAACCCACTATTTATAATTATATCTATTCAGTTATCAAATTTTAAGTTTTAATAGAAAACTCAGATGAAAAAATAGACTTCATCATTGAATTCCCCTCATGAAAACATCCAACCTGTATAATATTGACTATGTTTAGTATCGAGGACAAATTAGCTTAAGTTAAATTAATTAAACAAAATTAAATAAATTAAAAAAAAATGATGGTGAATAGCACAACCATGGCAGCCTGCCATGACTATTTAGTTGACATTAACCATTTTAGAAGGCAAGGAAGCATAATTGCCTGCCATTGCCACCCATGACCATAGATCACTACTTTGATTGAAGACTGAAGCCCACCCCTCCTTAGTGTATAAATATAGGCAAAACAAATGAAAGTGAAGGAGAAAGAAATCGGGCAGCCTTGGTATTGAAAGATAAACAAAGAGAGAGAGAGAGAGAGAGAGGTAATCCACCATTGTTGAGGTGCTAAAGATTTTGGGACGATCAATCCAAGTAAAGAGGTAGGATTATAACTATCTTGTTGTCTTCCTTGATCTATTGATTGTAGAGTATATGTATATATATGAAACATGTGGGTTTATGCATGATGGAATTATACATATATTGGTGTGTATGTTATATACTTATTTGGATGTGTAGGTCTCTCAAATGGGTTTTGTATCTACCAAATAAATTAACGAAAATAATTTTAAGAGATGAAATCAGGTAGAAAAAGACAGAAGAAAAGAAGAAGAAGAAGAGCAGTACTGGGCGTAGATAGAAGAAGATGGAGATGATGGCTTAAATTCTGAAACTACCCCTTTTTAGTTTTATCTACAACATATACCTACATACTGAAATTATAAAATTAAGTCCACGGTTTTGTTAAGTTACAGAAAGCCCCCTTTTGTATTTCATGAGTAACGGATAAGTACCTGTTGAAATTATACAATGACCCCCAAAAGATCATAAAATATTACTAAAACACTAAATCAGTATATTTAATAGTTAAGAAATGTTTTTGAAATTGTATATTGAACCCGAATTGTTATGAGATTGTTTTAGAGATTATAAAATTACACTATATTGCTAGATCATGTGTTTAGAAATTATCTAAAGACCCCGAAAGTTTCTAAAGCTCAAAATAAGAGGCTATCATAAATTGTTAGCTATTTAGGAATGTATTCCTAGGTGATATATATATATATATAAATAGTATATATATTGGTTGTATAAGTAAGGATGTGATTCTAGTCAACATTAACAACCACTAAAGTATGGTGCTATACATGAGATGTGTTGACATACAAAGGATAATAAAAGGGGACATGTTCACAATGGTGATAATTATACCAAGGTTGAACTAGTACATACTCTTATATGTATTAGCATGTCGGGATGGTATTGAAATATTTATTTCTAACTGCA